GGATGAGGATCAATATCAATATATTTTTATCAAGTAAAGATGTAAGCAAATAAGAGGCACATGATAACACAAGCAAACAAAAGATTGACCGACAAAAAGGCAAACGGAAAGAAGGTAATTAAAAAGGGAATTTTTTGTGAAGTGGGGGAGATGAAAATGAGAAGCAAATGGCAAATAATGTAAATTGCAAGGAGATAAGATTTGTGATTAGGAACCTGATAGATGTTGATGATGTATCCGCGGCAATGGCGCCAGATGTTTGGTCCTCCCTTTTTTGATGTCTTGTATCGTATTTTCCCCAACAAGTAAGGGATGATGCAGTATAGGTAAGGTAGGTAGATCCCTCAGTTATGAAACCAAGGTTATCGAACTAGTAGGAGAACCAAGCAACACTATGTAAATGGTACCTGCACACAAAGAACAAATATTTGCAACCCGACGTGAAAGAGGGGTTGTCAATCCCTCTCGGTTAAAAGATTGGTAAAGTGATAGATTGGTAGATGCAAAAAAAATAAAGGCAAATAAAATTCAGCGAGGTATTTTTGGGTTTTTGGCAATATAGATATGAAAATAAAAGCTGCAAATAAATAAAAAGGCAAATAACAATGTAGATCTGAAAATATATGATGAGAAAATAGACCCGGGGGCCGTAGATTTCACTAGTGACTTCTCTCGAGAAATTAACATACGGTGGTAAACAGATTACTGTTGGGCAATTGATAGAACCTCAAATAATTATGATGATATGCAAGAAATGATCATTATATAGGCATCACGTCCAAGATTAGTAGACCGACTCCTGCCTGCATCTACTACTATTACTCCACACATCGACCGCTATCCAGCATGCATCTAGTGTATTAAGTTCATGGAGAAACGGAGTAATGCATTAAGAAAGATGGCATGATGTAGACGAGATCTATTGATGTAGGAATATCCCCCATCTTGTTATCCTTAATAGCAACGATACATATGTGTCTTGCTGCCCCTTCTGCCACTGGTAAAGAACACTGTACGATCAAACCCATCACAAAGCACTTCTTCATGGCAAGGAAAATTGATCTGGTCGGCCTAACCAAACCAAAGATTCGAAGAAGAAATACGAGGCTATAAGTAATCATGCATATAAGAGATCAAAGAAACTCAAATAACTTTCATTATATAAAGATCTGATCATAAACTCAAAGTTCATCGGATCCCAACAAACACACACAAAAAGAGTTACACCAAATATATCTCCAAGAGACCGTTGTATTGAGAATCAAAAAGAGATAAGAAGCCATCTAGCTACTGCCTACGGACCCATAGGTCTACAATGAACTACTCACGCATCATCAGAGAGGCGCCAATGAGGATGATGAAGCCCTCCATGATGGTGTCTAGATTGGATCTGGTGGTTCTGGAACTTGCGGCGGCTGGATTTGTGTTTTGTCGACTCCCCTGGGGTTTTTGGATTTTCGTGGTATTTATAGAGCAAAGAGGCGGTGCGGGAGGCGGCCGAGTGGGCACAACCCACCAGGGCGCGCCTGGGCCCCCAGGCACGCCCAGGTGGGTTGTGCTCCCCTCGGAGCCCCCCTCTGGTACTTCTTTGGCCCAACCGGTGTCTTCTGGTCAAGAAAAATTCTCCAAAAAGTTTCACTGCGTTTGGATTCCATTTGGTACTGATATTCTGCGAAGTAAAAACAAGCAAAAAAAAGTAACTGGCACTGGGCACTGTGTCAATAGGTTAGTCCCAAGAAATGATAGAAAGTTGTTAAAAATGATTGTAAAACATCCAAGAATGATAATATAACAACATGGAATAATCAAAAACTATAGATACGTTGGAGACGTATCAATGGTCAGGAGAGATAGGCATCTAATATTCTTAGCTAGGTTGTTAGGAGATGAAATCCATTGGGAAAGCTTGATCGTTTGACCCATGAGAGCTATCTTGTTACTATTTTGGTTTAACAATGGGACTAGGTTGTGTAAAAGGTAATGATGTGGAGGCACAAGAACTCTTAGAAATGGAGCTAACTACAAAAATGTCAAGTTGGTAATTGTAATCATGATAAAGTTTAACTATCTCAATACTATGCAAACCTCAGCAACACTTAACGAAGGGGGGGGGGTACTCCATCTGGACCATCGCTGGAGGGAGCGGTGCCTCTAGACTCTATTACAACTATTCAACCAATCCACATGGGTCAATTTCAGCAAATTATCCATCGCGCCTATCAACACCGATGATACTACTCTTAATCAACTTCTTACTGCATTTTGGATGCAAAATAGAAAGCTTAACATTTAGATACCTTGTGCTCCCTCTGGGAACCACCAAACCACTTGTTCAAGACTTGATGCCCATCATTAACGGAAATGACAACAAATTATCTAGCATTGTCAATCTTATGAATTATGCTGGTAGACTTACTTATGTGAACTCAGTCATTACCTCCATGCCTATTTTTTCCATGCACACTTTCGAGTTCATATCACTGTACTGGAACATGTAAACAAATCCAGTAGGTCTTTCCCATGGCATGTAAATGATATTAACAAGAAAGGTAATTGTCTGGCCAACTAGCAGATAGTTCGCAAGCCCAAGGAACAGCGTGGTCTTGGTGTACTCAATCTTAAAACCCAAAACACTGCTCTACTCATGAAACATGTTCACACTTTTAATAATCGTGATGATGTTTCCTGGGTGAAACATATTTGTCAAGCACATTACTCAAACACTATGATCCCACATGCTTGCACCAATAAAGGATCATTCTGGTGGAGAGACTGTATGAGTTTGATCGATACATACAGAAATTTTACATCTTGTATCGCCATCAATGGAGATTCTATACTCTTATGGAAGGACAACTGGAAAGGCCAGCCCATGATAGACAAATATCCCGAGCTACATCCATTTGCAACCAATGATAACATCTCATTATACTTTGCCAATCATCATGATGGTTTATACTCCATGTTCCAACCGCCACTATCTGTCATTGCCCACCAACAATTCTTGCAACTCACAAATTCATTAGATATGGTCAAGGACTCACATGAGCATGACACTTGGAAATTTCATTGGGGAGGTGCTTCTTATTCTACCAAAAAGATTTACAGTCCCCTTATGGGACAATCAAGCCCCCCTCCTATCACATGGATCTGGAAAACATGATGTCTTCCCAAACATATATTTTTTGTTGGCTGATGTTACATGACATAGTTGATACCTATGACATGTTATCTATTTTTTTTTCATCTGGACAATACCCAATGTACACATGCCAGAACTACAATATGGAGGACATGGGGTCAGTTTGGTTTCCGTCCTGAGCATTTGTCACCTGGCCTGGCCTTGCCTGAGAGCTGCCTGGCTGTTGTTTGGTTGACGTCCTAGTCACGAGGGAGACGGCCTGGCCGGAGAATAAGAAAAGGTAGTTAGCCTGGCTCACAAAACGAGACACCTAGTTAGCCTGGGCCAGGCAACCCATTCTGGACGCCTGGGCTTGCCTGGAGTCTCTGCCTGGAACGCTAATCAGAAGGCTCGGAAAACGAGGCGAGTTGAAAGGACTCAAATAGCTAGACATCGGGATAACAACAACTCATTAGCACTCTCCAGGCCAGGTCCTCAACCAAACGCATCTATCCTATACTAGCCTGACCAGGCAATTTTTTGAAAATTCCCAGGCACATTCCAGGCATCGAAATCTTCCAGGCATCTTGTCCAGCGCAGAAACCAAACTGACCCATAATGCATCTATTCTTTGGATGCTCATCCAGTCAAAGTTTCTGGTGAAGTATTGGTATGGAATGGGATACATATGCTGGCATCCACAACACGATTACTGATGCAAAACACACGTACAATATGCACTTTATCATGGAGATTCTCGTCACTGGCTGTTGGAGCATATGGAACCATAGAAATGGCATTGATCTTTGAAGGCACATAATGCTCTGGTAGTGCTTGCAAAATGGATTTTATTAGCCAATTTCACATGACAATGCCTAGGGCTAATCCACGCATCAAGGAAGGGATGAGATCATAGATGTCAATGTATAAATAGGCTATATAACTTTACTTACCCATTTCTCTTTTCTTTTTCTCTTTCTTTTTTCTATGTAACCTCCCGTGTTACACTTGTAACTTACTGGATTCCCTAATGATTAATGGAAAAATGACTCATCCCTACTGTTTTTGGTCAAAAAAGAAAACAAAATGATAATTCTTTTGTTTTGTTTCAAATTTGTTAGCCCAAACAATGACTCACTACAAGTGTTGCTTAATACACGGCGTGATCTGGGAAGACTACATTATTTACTTAATTCGCTCTTCTGGGTTGAAAAAAATAATTCTTTCTGTTCGAGGAAGCTTCATGCGCGCCCATAGTATTCTCTTCTATAATGTACTAGTACTGTATGCAAAAATAATATTCTCTTCTATAATGTACTAGTACTATATGCAAAATCAAAATCTGAATAGCTTGATGTTTACAAGTGGAAGGGCATTTCAAGAAATTTCAAATGGCACCGTGTGCACTCATGGGACAAATATTGAATGTATTTTTCTTGAGTTCATATATTGAGTGTTGGTAGCAAATGGCCAGCACAAGACGTGTGGATCTTTTGAACAGCTTGCCTTTCACCAAAAACCAGGCGCACTTCACTCGCAAAAAAAAAAAAAAACAGGCGCACTTTCTACAAAAAAACAAAAAAGGCAGCTGCACACATGACCACGCATAAAGAACTCCTGACTCGCCAGGTCACCGATCCGTGTGCTCCCATCCTCTACCGTCCATTAGGCCAGCCGGAGCAATCTCATCCGTCCATCCTCGTTACCATCGCCACCATGCGATCCATCCATCTCACTCTCGCTCACTCCTCTTCAGTTCTTATCCGGAGTACTCCGATCCAACTCTCTCCGCTCGCACGCAGCCGCCGCAGACCTCCTCTCGGGAAGAAAAATTCCCCACCTCTCCTCCCTTTCCCGTCCTCGTCCCCGCCGCTTCGCCATGGCCGCCGAGGAGGCCGCCAAGCCGGCCACGCTCCCGTCCTATCCCGAGGTACTACCCGAGCCGCCGTTTCTTGCGGCGTTGTAGTATTTGTTTCTGCCTTTGGTTCGACGGTGGTTGCCAAGATTTACATTTTGTTGGGTTGAGGTGGTGCCGGAGATGGATTTCTTACGTTGATCTGTGTTTTTTTGGACGAGTTCAGATGATACTGGCGGCCATCGCGGCGCTCAACGACAAGAACGGGTCGAACAAGTCCGCCATCTCCAAGCACATCGAGGGCAAGTACGGCGACCTCCCCAAGGAGCACGCGGCGCTGCTGACGGCGCATCTGGTGCGCATGAAGGAGACCGGCCAGCTCCTCTTCCTCAAGAACAACTACTTCCGCACCGACGCGCCGGACGCCCCGCCCAAGCGGGGCCGCGGCCGCCCGCGCAAGCCCATTGACCCCAACGCGCCGCCCAAGCCCGCCTCCCCGCGCCCCCGCGGACGCCCGACCAAGCCCAAGGATCCTGAGGCCGAAGCTGCCAATCCGCCCAAGAAGGCCAAGACCGCTCCTACCCCTGCCGTCGACGGATCCGCCAAGCGCGGCCGCGGCCGTCCGCCCAAGGCACGCCCCGCCGAGCCGGCGGCGGCCTGACTCGTCCTCCGCTCCACCTGGGCGCGGCTGTCGGTTTCTCTGGATCACCCGGGTGCTGGTTGGTTAATCTTGTTCTGTAGTGCTTAATAATTGTCGGTCGCTCTCTTTAGTTGTAGTGGTACTTAATTGCCGGGATCGCCGTGTCGTGATTAGGAGGGTTTAATGTGTCGTCGTCGCCATTGCTGTCGTGGTCGTAGCGCTACCGCCATTGTTGTAACCTGAGGTTGATTAGGATGTTGAGTGTGCTGATTGTTCAGCAAATGTGGATCTATTTGTACAATCGGTGGATGGATTAACTGTGTTGATTAGTCATGGTGTTCATGTCCTCCTCAGTTTGCTGTACCAGGTATCTGCTCCATTGACTAGTTGGTAGTGGTACTAGCAGCTGTCCTTGGTAGAAGTAGTTGTGATCGAGCCTGTTAAGATTCGTCAGTAATGATCTCTTCCATTTTGTCAAGGAGGCGGCTGCAGAATGGCTGTGATGGGCTGGGACTGTACCCTTGATCCTCCTATGACGAACTGGTGTCTGCAACTCGCTGGCCTGGTACCTGGCGTGTTGTAAGTCAGTTTGAGGGATGGTATCTCCTTCAAGCGCCCTCTCGTCCAATCTAGTCACTGTCAGTCGAGTACCACAACACAATCTTGAGCAATGATCGCAGCAGGCAACATGCTCGTTTGACTCCATCTTAGAGACAACCCCATTTATCTACGAAACAAGCTCTTGTCCTGCTTTATAGATAAAACACGAACCAAAATACATGGTCGATATAAGGTTGGGCATACAATGGCACACTGTGGAAGGTACGGACCATCAGAATAACTGAGAAAATTACTAGTATCAGAATAACTGGGGAAAAATGAGTCATATACACTATAAGAGCGGCAGACAGGTTATCTGAAATAGGCTGCAACAATATATCATTGTTTTATCTTCAAACCATTTTTTATATTACAAAGTAATGAGAAATAAAAACCATAACTTACACCACCAAAATGAGATGAGGCATCTGCCATGTGCCCTGGGTGACAATCCCCGACGCAGAAATAAATATATGAATGTCAAAGATGGTTTCCCTATGGTACCACATTCATGAAATGGTGTCATTGTCCTTTCTATGTCAAAAATATGGGAATAAACTTTTATAAAATGTCATTAACATTTTACAGTTGTTTCAAGCCTTGCGCTGCTCGGCATGGCCCCATAGCTTCTGCAATCAACACTGACTACTCCACCAAGTAAGCAATACATGAAAAAAAAATCCGCAGAAATTACTGATAATATGATGTGGCAGATCCCTTGAAAAACTAAACACATGTGCAACTATTAGGATTGGAATGCCTTCTTGATTTATTTGTACCATGAATTAGCATAGAAGAAGGCATGCTAAAAGCAAGTATATATTGTCTCCTTGGGTACACTAAATCTATCCGCAAATCATAATTATCATAGAAATATATGGGTATCATTTCAAGCTAGTTGCAACTTTGTAAATTGGAAAGAACGCTAATCAATGGAATTTGAAACATAATTATTACTATTTTTCAACAATGATTTTTTTGCAATGTCAACCACAAAAGTAAATCATTAGTACATTGATATTGATATAGCTAAAGGGAAATACCCGAGAACATCTGTTAAACCAGGTGTAAAACATGTATGCCACAAGATTTGTTATTACAATGTATTCAAGGCAAAATATGAAAATCTATTTGTGATCAAGGGGTGAATGAGGTTAATAGTGCTAAGAGAATTACTGCAAAATTCAAAAGATTAAGGAAGGGTCTCAAAATATGGGCAGAGAATATTTCACAACTGGCCATGCTCATCAAAAGATCTAATGGTCAAATCCCACTGTTTGACACTTTGGAAGAATATATACCTCTTTCTATTGAGGGATGGAATGGAAGAAATATCCTCAAAGATCATTTGTTCAATCTCGTCTCACATCAGAATGCCTATTGGAAGCAAAGAGCAACTATAAGATGGGTCAAGTTTGGAGATGAGAACACTAATTTATTTCAAGATAAGTCAACAATTAAGTACAGACACAATCAAATTCAGTTCTTACAAAGTTACAAGATGAAAACCTAAATGAGCACACAGACCATCAGGCTAAAGCTGCCATCCTATGGAGAGCTTTTAAAGGTAGAATGGGAACAATTGAGAATTTTTCCCTCTCCCAGATTTGTTACCAGCTGACGTTTCTTTGTCTAAATTGGAAATTCCTTTCTCAAAAGAGGAGATTGACAGTGTTATTAAAGAGCTTCCTTCAGACAAAGCCCCTGGCCATGACGGCTTTAATGGGAACTTCATTAAAGCCTGATGGAGCATCATTGCATATGACTTATATACTCTCACCGGAGATTTCTATCAAGGCTCTATTAATCTCCAATCTATCAATGGATCATTTATCACTTTGGTGCCAAAGATAGATAACCCTCAACAACCTGTAGATTTAAGGCCCATTTCATTGCTAAACTGCACAATAAAAATTATCAGAAAGTTGTTAGCAAATGATGCTCAAGCTAGTCCACACTAACCAATATGGATTTCTAAAGAATAGATACATCCAATACTACCTGGCATGGGCCTTTGGATATATTCATCAATGCCAGCAATCCAAAAAGGCCATGGTGTTATTAAAGCTAGACTTTGAAAAGGCATTTGGCATGATTGAAGATACCACAATTTTGGAAATCCTTAAGGCAAGAGGTTTTGGAGATAGATGGATTATGTAGATGTCAGGACCCCGATCCTAAGTCACACCGATCTAGCATGTAACACATCATATCACTTTGCGGCCTCACGCACGGTATTCCCACGGGTGCCACCTTACCTGGCCCGGGACCGTTTGCGCCTTTTGGCTCACGTATATGATAGTGCCGCTAGCATCCATATGACAAAGAACCCGGGCTGACATGGCTAGTCGTGAACCCAAAGTGGAACAAACTTATAGGGACATGCATCCATGACCCAACATCGAACGTGTCGGTCATCAGCGAGTGAATCCAGGCTGTAGCACTGGGCTAGCAGGACTTCGGTGAACCGAGCTGTAGCGGCTAACAGGACTCCGGTATCCATCGCGTGACATTTCCCCGAAGGGACAGACACATGAACGAAGAAGGACACATGCCGACCAACCTAAGTGTTCCGGAGCAGTAGCAAGCTACCAAGGCTCAGTGGAAGCACTAGGAGACATTTCCCGATAAGAGAGGCCACTAAGGATAAACAACTAGATAGTCAGATCCCACACATACCAAGCATTTCAATAACATACACACAATATGCTCGATATGTGCAAATACAACATGGCATCACAACATGGCTCTACAACTCAAGTATTTTATTCAATAGGCTCCGAGGAGCGAGATATTACAAACATGGGTCTCATGACCCAACACTCAGAGCATTCAAGTCAAAGCACAAGCAGAAGCTTAACATGTCTGAGTACAGACATCTACAAATGGAAAAGGCTGAGAAGCCTGATTAACTACCAGATCCTACCGAGGGCACAAGATCGTAGCTGAGGTAACAAGCTAAACGTCGAAGTCCACGTGGAACTACTAGTGAGACTGAAGTCTCTCTGCAAAAACATAAAATAGGCAAACGTGAGTACAAATGTACCCAACAAGACTTACATCAGAACTATCTACATATGCATCATTATCAACAAAGGGATGGTGGGGTTTAACTGCAGCAAGCCAGCTTTGACTCGGTGGCTGTCCTGAACTATGACTGCAAGCAACTCTTTGAGGTGGCGCACACGAGTCCACATATTCACCAACCAATACACCACTATGGATCCGCTCCCGTCCCCCTACGAGAACGCCATCCATAACACTCACACTTATCTTGCGCATTTTAAAGTATCCACTTTCACTTGTCTATGAACTGTTATAGGCAACCCAGAAGTCCTTTACCGCGGACACGGCTATTTGAATAGATGATGTTAACCCTGCAGGGGTGTACTTCTTCACACATGTTTCCACCACTTAGCGTCTGCACACGACATGTGCTCGACAGACTTCAAGCGAAAGCCAACGTGGGTGTAGACCACAACCTACCTAAACACTCAAGTCTCTAGTCCAGGTTTATCGCCTATTCAGGTTCCATCCGCAGGGAGTCCGGCCGAGGTTTCCACATACGACCCCGAACGATGTGTACAGGGTTCCGTGACACCAAACGGGCGCCCGGTATACCCGGCCACGTGCCTACCGCATCACAGCCCACCCCTCGGGTCAGCGCTGCCCACGACCTCCAGCATACTACAAACACCAGAAACTACTTGCAACTCCTGGACAGAGGACAAGGGTGATTAAGAAGTCGAGCGGGGTCATATTTCAGGGCCCAATGCATGGTAGTAGTTGTTTCATGGATCACAAACACAGAACTCAGTTCCTAAGGACGACTTCAATGGGACAACCCACCATGTACTCCTACATGGCCTCTCATCATTACCTTTACCAAATCGTGTTCACACACTTAGCTCATACATAGTAGGACATGTTCACACACCTCTGATTCATCCCCGATGAATCAAACTTGACTCAACTCTAAGCAGTAGCAGGCATGACAAACAAACATGAATGAGCAGGCACAACAGGGCTCAAACAACTCCTACTCATGCTAGTGGGTTTCATCTATTTACTGTGGCAATGACAGGTCATGCAGAGGATAAAGGGGTTCAGCTACCGCATCAAGTAACAAATGAATCATTGTTGTCCTAATGCAGTAAAGTCGAGCAGGAGCGAGAGAGTAGGATTGTATCGGAATGAACAAGGGGGTTTTGCTTGCCTGGCACTTCTGAAGATAGTATAGCTCTTCATCGGTGTCATCGATCTCATCGTCGGTATCACATCTATCGAAAGGGAACAAATACCGGTAACACAGAAGGAAACACAATCAATGCAATGCACAATATGATGCATGAACATGACATGGCAATATGCTGTTGATTGGCCTAATGCAACTAGCAACAAGTTAAATGGAGTGGGTTTGA